ACAAAGCAAAAGAAATTGTTGTTTAGGAAAATAATTGTGTATGCTGACTGAATGTTATCGAGAAATGTCGAAATTAATCACAAACTACCTGTTTCGTTAGTAATGACTACTAGAACTGTTTGCATTGCCATCTAACATTTGCGGGCGGAAACTAAGTTAAGGTCCTAATAACATATTCAACTTCTATGTAACTTACAGAAACGGAAAATTTATTGCTTTCCCTGTCTTTCACAGTTTCTCCTTTCAACTGCTCGAGAATGTGCGTATCCGGCTTGGTTGTTTTCGGCGCGAGCTCTATCGACGCTCCGGTCTCGAGAATTACTTCCATATATGAGTTGTTATCGTCTCTTATCATTCTCGAACCATCATCAAAAATCTATAAGTGAAACTATTGCATTAAAGATACTATATCTTTCATATGTAAATAGAAATATCTTTTATATACAAATACTTTACATTTTATATACATACATGTTTTACATCCACATTTTTTTACACTTTATAAGTTCATTGCATATTTGTGTGCAAAATGAGAGAACATTAGAGCCGTTTCAAAGAATCACGAATTAAATTGATATTTAATTCGTAATTCTTTTAAATGAGTATTAAATGAGTACGAGTGAGTACGAATAATTTGGAAGATAAGAATTTGGAAGATTTCTCGTTACAACCTTGAGAGAACTGCGCTCCAGATCAAGTATCACCTCCAAGCCTGTGTCGTTTTTCAGTAAACACGATCTATTAAATAAGTGGATGGATGAGCGCGAATGGGAATTTGAATGATTCCGCATTACAACCTTGAAAGGACTGTGCTCCAAGTCGAGTATCATCCCCAGGCCGGTCTCGTTTTTTAGTAAAAACGGTGCCACCTTCTTAGTGAGTCCTTTTCTACTGACGTCCATAGCCGAAGAGAACGCTTGGCCAAGCTGCTTCAATACATCCAGACACGTTTTTGTCACCGTTATTTCCAGATTATCCTGTTTCAGACAGAAAATTAAATCACATATATCTTGGTAAAATATCAAGAATTTCTTCAGTCAATTTTACTCACAGTGGACGTAATGTCGATAGACATCTTGGTAGACTGATGCAGCTCTTCGATCTCGCTGTCTGAGGTGGGGCTGACCGCGCTAGCACCTCTGGAGTCCAAAAGTATATCATTGAATTGAACCTGACAGAGCATAACGTTGTTGATTAACGAAAACACGTTATTAATTAGCAAGAATCAGATAATCGATTGCTAACAGACTCACCTTTGTCTTTAACTCCCACGGTGTAGACACGCGTTTACCATTAACATAACTCTCTATCGGCTCAATCAACGGCTCCCATAGTGCGAGGCGGCTGTTGTAGTACTCCATGATCACGGACATGGTGCAATCAACGCTCATCTACAAATGCAATTTACGAGGTAATGAATAACTGATAAATAATGACAATAGTAATGCATTTAGTCGACTACTTACAGTTTTTGTGCTCCAATCGTTAATGTTACTTTGAAAGCCTACGTGAAGCAATAGCATGGGCAAAGTTTTATTGCCAACACCTGCCTCCAGAGTTAGTAAGATCATCGGTGCTGAGACTAGTGCCAATTCGGGTTTGTAAATTGTTATGTCGTCTGAATACATGAATTCCTCAAGAGCTTCTGTTGCAACTTCTATAGAAGAAAGTAAACTTGAGAGTGGCTTTTAAAATTTATCACTAAGATGCTACATTTTATAATAATAATTAATACTTAATAACATAAACGTAAAACGTAATACGTAAACATAAACGTAATACATATAAACGTTTTATACGTAACTGTTGAACAATTAATTATTAAATTGTTTGTATAACCTGTCTTTAGGAACCAGTAATCATCCTCCATAAAAGATGTGATGATCCACAGTCCCTCGTAGTTCGGCTCAGGCTTAATAATTTCCTTGTCCTCCTCCTCCTTCTTCGTTACTGAATGAATGACCTTGTTCAATATTTCGATGACACCTGCAAATTGTCGTTTACATACATATCACCGATCAATTTAGAACTTTAACTTTACGTAATTTAACTTAATTTAACAGAACTTTAATTTACGAGTTACCTGGCGAAACAGATATATGTATATCTGTACAACTAACATCCAAGTGGAGTCCTTTACCTTCAGGCGTGGAGCCGGCCACGCTAATGCTGCATGGTTTCAGCACCTTATGCAATAAATAATATTAGTAACGCAATAGCAATACTAATAATTAACAATAATGTAGAAAATACTAGAATAAATTAATCTACTATCTCAATTGAGATAGACAGTTCAAATATAATTTAAAATATTAATATTATAATTTTTACTTTTTATGTATTGCACAAAATAAATAGAATTAAGAGTGTTATATTTTATAAAAATTGTATCCTGATTGTATACCTGATAAATCCAATCAGCTCTCTTAGATGGATTATATATCCCCGCCAATAGAGAGAAATCCTTGATAGCACCACTGATCACCTGATGCTCACCCATAATGCGCACTTTCAGCAGCAGTTCCGTGTTCAATACAATGCAGTTTGAGTTAATATCGTCCATGTCCTCGAGCAGAATAATATCCGGCTTCTCCACGTGTAAATACACAGTTAACATCTTGGGACTCGAAGCAGCTGCTGCTTGCTGCGACGGTTGCTTCTTCTTCGACGTGGCCGGTTCGCCATGGTATTTCGATGTAGATTGCACAATGGCGGTATTCTTATTGGCAGTGTCCACGTCAAAGAAGTCTTTGATCTTCATAAGGTAGTCGAGGGACACGATGATACTGAAAGAGAACACACGAACGTCCGCGAACGTGTCGTTCGGACCCTGGCGTACTGTCACGTCCAGCATACTCCTGGTGTACTTGGCCTCCTTGTCGGTATCCTCGCCAGTTGGCACCGCGCTGGTCCTCTCCATAATTCGCATCAGCGAGCCCTCCCTGCTCTGCCGCATGTCGTCCAGCGTACAGTTCATCAACAAGATCGACGTGGCCAACAGACCGTCGGCGAACACTCGGCCTTTCACGGCAAAGTGCGTTAGGCTAAACCGGGCCAGTCCGTTCTCCGGCAAGTGCAACGGTGAAGTTTGCGACTGCAACAGCTTGGAGCCGCCTGTATACAGATTGATTACCAAGCTGTCCATGATGAACTCAAACTTGATTGACGTGTGCGCGTGCAATTGCTGCTGCGGGTCCGTCGTCCGGGGTTCTCGTGACGCGTCGGCTTCGTATCTGTATGTCGGCTGGATCTCCAACTCCCCGCTTTGTTCAGATTTAACTGCTGGTAGCGCAGGTTGCGGGGGTTTCGCGTCCTCGAAGGTCTCGCTTAGATTTTGCTCCACTACCTTCAAGATCGTAGCGTAATCCTCCTTACTCAACAGTAGATTGATCTTATTCAATCTGCCGAACATTTCGATGTCCGGAATGGAGGTGAACCAGGCAGTGGATAAATTGCGTTTCATGAGAAGCGTGAAAGTTACCGGCTCCAGTAGCAGTACCTCATTCTCGCTTACGAATTTTTCCATATTTAACCGGACTCGCGACAGTTTCAGATTTTGCAGCTCGATCTTCATCTCGTCCACTATAGGACACTCGTCGGATTCTTCATTGGTTACTTCCAGTTTCTTGAAGACATTGCATATCATAAGATTGCCCATGTCTAACATCAGGCTGTGTTCGCTTTTTGAATTCATCGGTACATACACAACAGGCGCTTTGATCTTGATGGCCAGCTCGATGCGAGAAGCACTTTCTTGGACATCCTTAATGTTTGTTTTTGCAGCTTCCGCCGCTGCTGCCGACGCGTCCTTAATGGCCTTCTGTGCCGTTTGAAAGTTGTTCAGGAAATTCATCACGCCGGAGACGAAGGCATTCAGGAACACAATGCGATGACAACCCATGACCACCTTGACAGACATGTTATTCTTGTCCACTTCCCACTGTTCGATATTGTACATCACTATTTGAACTTGCAAGGATTCTGTGCCTTCTACTGCCACGATGTCCTTGTACGCGCAATTGGGATTAAGATCCTTGATACTGATGGAGGTCAAATCGACGTTCACTTGAGAATAGGAGGACTTGATGAGAAAACCGGCACTGATTCTCTCGACGTACAGCGCGGTGATGTCTCTGGCAGAGCTGGATATTTTCAAATTGATTGAACCGATCTTGGCGCTCACTTTCAGATCGATACACTCGACCGTGCTACGTTTACGTCGACCAGTGGGTTTCAGCCTCTGCTTCTGCAGCTGTTCCTTTAGGAAACCGGGCGCCTCTTCTTGAATGGAAGCTAAATGAGTAGGTCGTACTGCGCGCGCTGCGTCCTTGTTCGGAGAAGTCGTCGTGGACAGAGAGTTCATCTGGTCTTGAATGTACGTACTGAATCTCAATAGCTCTATAAGCGCCTCCTGATGCAGCAGAGTGTCCAGCGACGTGAATTCCAACTGCAGCAGCTTTACGACGGAGCCGTGCCTGGTGATGAACTCAGGCGAGCGTTTGTTCACGTTCACGTAACGCACAACGATCAAGTATTCGTCCTTGCCAGCTGACATCGGGGTGTTGATCATGAAGATCTCGTGACCCTCGTGTTGTTGCTTCATCTGCACGCCGCCGAGCCTCAGCAATATCTCTTGGTCATACGTGCGTTGCAACATTTCCGCTTCTAGCTGCAACACCTGGAATCTGACGAACTCTGACGCAACCTCGTCACTCTGCCGGGACATTGACAGTGTGAACTCCTTCATCTCAAATTTCATTTCCAGATCGGTGGTTTGCTTCATTGGTAGGGCCGTTTCCTGTTTCTTCTTGTCTGCAATACTGGAAGATATGGTGGTGAGTTCTCTTAGGGATAGCTGAGAGATGGACTTCGAAAGCGAAATGCGTTGCAATTCCGCGGGTTTCTCCTCCTCAGGCAAGCGGATACTCTGCACGATGCAAAGTGCCTGCAACAGGCGAACGTCCGTTATGTTCACGGTCACTGACGGCAGGTGACCGAGGAGTCTGAGCTTCGGTAATAGCGGATCATCCATCACTAGACACTTGTGGAATTGGATCTCTAACATCGTCGGATGCAGCAATGTCAAAGAGCTTTCGGTACTCGCCAGGGCTGTGCGCCACTCCTCGTTCGGCAATGAGACCAGTACTTGGAAGTTAACTATCTTCAAGACAAACTTGTCGTAACTGTGCTCCCTCAAATGCGTCAATATGTCCTGTTCGCTCTTGCCCATGCTGACTAGTTGCTTCACACTAGCGCCGGCCATGTCGTCTTTGCCCTTCTCCAGAGAGTGAATCTTCAAACTGCCCAGGTTGACGACGATGAGTGCCTTCGAGTCGTCGTAGAGGCCACCATGCGGTATGATCAATTGCGAGGCTTGCATATCCACTTGTATATCCAGTATTGAATGCTTCTCTATGGCGTACTCCAGTCCAAGCGCCGACATCTCTTTCAAGCCCTCCAGCTGCTCCGCGGCGGCTGTCTGCAATTGACTCAGCGTTGACGAGTCTTGTACCTTGAACATGTTGACTAACTCGATTATTGTCTGCGCGTCGTACACGATATCGACGGACCTAGACTTGACGATGACGCGGTGGCCGCACAGTTTGTCAATCGGGTTTTTCTCGTATGATACTGACAGTAAAGCGCTGTCGGAGCTACCGTGCTTTGAGATGAAAAGCGAAGGCACGCGACCATCCTGCATCGCGCCCAAGAGTTTCATTTCGCTAATGGAGGCAATGACGAGAATGGCGTTGCCTGATGGCCGCGACTTGAAGCCTGCTTGCACGCCGTGCAACTGCAGGTCCAGGATACATGAGTGCTCCTTGTCCGTGTCCAGCAACGAAATCTGCAGTCCGTGTAGGAAGAAATGCGTATCGATCATCTCAAAGGTCTCAGGATAATGCGCAGGTGCACTGTTCTCTTGATAATCTATTGCCCGATAAAGTTTTTCTTTCTCTTGCGCCGTCATCGCTTCCTCGAACCTGCGCATGATAGCGGCAGCTGAGTTCAACTCCTTTGTTTCCTCGGCCTGCGAGCTGGTCCACAGGAAACCGAACCAACCTCTCTTCGCCCGCAGACTTTTTTCTTTTTCCGCCAATCTCTCCACTTCCATCTCGATCTGCTGCCGAATAATTACTAGGTTGAAGATATCGAGCTTTGCCTCACAATGCGTCAACTGTTCCTCGATATCCTTCGCCAATTTTTTCGTTGTCAGTTTTGTCTGGTAGGCCTGGGCGTAGGCACGGCAAGTGTCACGGTGCTGCCTCATGTGGTTCCAATTCCAGTTGCGACGACATCGTCTCACAGTCTCCTCCAATACACACTTGTACGCGAAATGCCACCATTCCTTGTAATGGCCTCTGTACGATGTTAGATTAGGTCGATACTTCCGATACGGAGCGGCCTTCTGTGCTTGATCCAGACCTTCGCCTAGTCTCACCAAGGTCTGATATTGGCGTTTCGTCAAGCCAATTCGTAACCTTTGCATCTCCAGATCCAACCATACTTTGGGGATCGAGTAATTGCTACCGTCGGACTCCGGCTTGGGATTGAGCCTAAGCTTGGACTTTACGTTAATCGGTCCCAGCAAATACTGATAGTTTGCTGGAGTGTAATCCATAGTAGCGATGCCACTGCAGAAAAGACTAGGATATGAGGAATGCGAACTTTTGCTGTATTGCTCCACACTTGTATTCAAGTACACGGCTAATCCGTCCAGGCCGCATAACTTGTAGATCTGTGGGATGGCGTACATGTCCTTCAAATTGCCAGTAGTCTCCCAAGAATCCGTGCAACTTTCCAGGACGAAAGTGTTCAAAGTGAAGCCCACAGAGAATGGGTGATTCTTGAAGGTGACATGGTCTTCGTACCGCACGTGGATTCTCTTGATTTCCACGTGAATGTTCTTGATCATGCGAGCAATCAGCTTCTCGACCATCGAATCGTCTAATTTTTCCTGTGCTGCAAAGTACACAACAATTCAATCATAACATTAGATACGCTGACAGTATTACAGTCAGGGATGCCGATTCAGTTACATTTGTAGCACGCTGACAGCGCGTAGAGGGGATGGCTCTCATGTATGCGTGCCCTATCCGTGTGCGCCTCTCACTTCAGTCACACTTCAGCCAAAGTGAGAGGCGCACACGGACAGGGCACGCATATATGGAAACCATCCCCTTTACGCGCTGTCAGCGTGCTTTAAATGTAACTGAATCAGCATCCCTGATTACAGTATAAACAAAAATTCAACAATCTATTATATAAATGTTTAGATAAGAAACTTACACTTCAAGATAAATTTTTAAATAAGAAACTTACACTTCAAGTCTGCTAGCTGTTTTCTCTTCTCCACTCTCGCAAGCTCTGCCCGTTTAGCTTCCAACTGTGCTTTACTTTCTTTCTCTTCATTGTATGCAACTTGACTTGTAGGCACTATTAATATAAACAGTTCCTCGACTACTGCGTCAATCTGACCATTCCACATATCTTTAAATGGAATCTTCAGTATCAATTTGCCTATAAAATATAACATTATGTTACATGTCATTGAAGTGAAATTATTGCAGATAGTATGGTATTTTAATACCTAAACGGCCATATTCCAGTCTTACTGGAAGATCTAACACATCCAAAGCTGATTCTTTTATTAACAAATCTTTTAACACAACATCACCTGGAAGAAAAAGAATCTTTATGTTAAATATGATTAAAATAGATAAGGAATAGATAAGGAATAAATAAGGAATCATCTTGAGCAGTCTTACCTCCCCAGAGGCTAAGTTTCAGCTGAGAATAATCCAAGTTTTCAATATACTCGCCGAGCACTTTGTTAAGAAGCTCTGCGACAATTGACTCGAAAACCATTTTGCAATTTTTCTTAATTCTCTTTGGTCAGCTTTCAAAGATTCCACAATATAAATTTACTTCTTTTCTCTCACAACTTCTGAAATAAATATATCACTTATATAGATGACTATAAAGATATTTACTACATTTATTATTTGTTTTTATAAAAATAAAATGATATACATGAGTTCATATATAAATAATCAAATTTAAAGATCTGATAATGTAAATAATAGCACTAACAAAGAAAAAATTTCTCACAAAGAAAGTAAATAAAAATATAAATTGCTAATTGGTTATTTACTATTTGAAGGTAATTCTAAATTTAGTAGTATGTGGATACATATTTATCTCATATTGTTTATTGACTAACATCTGTATTACACGTTACATTAGTATATTAATACTAAACCAATACCTATTACCATTAATTTATTAACTATAGATGCAATGACACAACTTTAGAAATTGTTTAGACAATGTTATGTTCTTATTACAGTGTCAGAAACTCTTATCAGTGTGCAGATTTTTTGGGACAGTCTGTATAATTTACCAGTTTAAATTTGTTAGATAAAAATATGTAAATTACACAATTATAACATGTACTATATGATAACAATATACTACACTTGCTTTAATGCTTAATAGTTGCATAATAATATACTACAAAGTATAATTAACAGGTAAACTAACTTACATTCTAAGGAGTTTCTTCAACGACGGGTGGTGGCTGCGACGTGCTTGCAGTGATATGACATCACGACAAACATAACCTGAAAATAGGTTGCTCGAGCTCGACGACTCGCTGGCGCGGGGATGATCCGCGTCTTTTTCCGTCAGGTTACGTCATCCTCGCGGAGTATCATCGATCCTGGGCACGTTGATACTTCTACAACGTAAACACTAGTTCACTTCCTCAAATGTCGGAATTTGCTATTTTCTTCAATCCGGAGCAGTGCTGGCAGTTCGCGATATATTTTCGCGCACGCGCATTGAGCAAACTCTGTGGTAACCTCAGCGCCGTATCTATTTTAAGGTATCATAAGATCCTTCACCTAAAGGAAAATATGAAAGGATTGTAGGAAGAAAAAAAGTTTGTGGAAAGAAACAGAATGCTATTCATAAGTAAAAATAAATATATTTTTTACTTTATATCACTTTATATCACAATATCACTTTATATTAAAATTGCACTTTTTATCACATTTTATTTATTAATATATACTATATATACTTATTATCACATTTTACACAGCTATACTAATTATTATAACTATATTAATTATACTAATTTATTATTATGTCATTTCACTACCTATCTAATCTAACCACTCCCAGGCAAACAACACAGACAGACGGCCGAGTATTTTCTGCATGTCCCTTAAGAACCCCCTATTAGTGCCTAACGCCGTCATTGGAAACTGCTTACGTCGAGCTGCTACGTCACTTCACGCATGCGCACAAGGGCTTCTGTCTATATAGAAAATATCGCGAACTGCCAGCACTGATCCCCAGATCAACCTGGTTCCATAATCTTTAGTACCGTTTTCAATTAGTGCGTGAATTTCTTATGGCTCCTGCCCACAGGACGCGGCAACATTTGCCGCACGGCGGAAGTCGCGCAACAGCCAATCAATATGTTGTTGAGAGCTACAAAGTATTACAAAAAGCAGCATATTGATTGGCTGTTGCACGAACTTCCGCCGCGCGACAAGTCCTGTGGACAGGAATCATTAAAGCATATATACATGGAGGGGAAATGTTGGTACAAAAGTGTGTCCAAGATGTGTGCGAGAGAGAAAGCTATACGTTCCTATTCGTCCTCTATGCGCATGCGTTGAAGTTGACAGGTTAGGTTAGGTTATAGAGTTGACAGATGTTATTTATTTTCTTTTCATAGAGCTCTGAGAATTTTTTCAGAATTTTGTATTAACTTTCTAGTATTTCAAGAAAATGCAAGAAAACGCAAGAAAACGCAGTACTAAAAAGTTAATACAAAATTTTGAAAAAATTCTCCGAGCTCTATGAGAAGAAAATAAACAATTTTTATCTTTTATTATTTTTCGGTAAAGTTAATAGAATTCAAGTAAAAAAATATTGAAACTAATAATTTTGTAGTCCAGCAACAACTGACACATGTTGGCGCATGCGCACAGAGGAGGAATAGGAATGGGAGCGTTCTGATTGACCACGGTACGATTGGACACAACCAACCGATGCAAAGAATTATCTACTGAATTACTAGGTCAAACCAATCATTACAATCTGTGTCCAATCGTATCGTGGTCAATTGGGTCCCACCCAATAGGAATGTATACCTTTCTCTCTCGCACATATCTTAAGGTCAAATCACACTAGCAATTGGCGATTGATGATTGACGATTGAAGATTGGAACTTGACCAATTGGAACAAAGCAACCAAGGTTGAAGTTTGTTGATTCGTTAAAATCTAATCTTTAATTGTCAATTGTCAATCATCAATCGCTAGTATGATTTGGCCTTTAGGTAAATTTAGGAGAATATTCATTATTTTCTAGCAAGAAACGCTGTTATACAAAGCTATTTTATTGGCTAACTGTTATCTTAGAAGATATCTTAGATAATTTGTAGCCAATAAAATGATTTTATGGTTAACGTAAAGAATGACTGTAACTGTTGTTGGGGGATTGAGCGCTGAATAAATTTTTGTTTTGATCGGTACATTCTTTTAAAAATACACACCAATCAGATGCAAGAGTTCACTGAGCGCTCACGGTGATCAACTAGACGCTGCAAATGTTTTGAAATGTTTAAATACTAAATGCACTCAGTGGGTGTGTTCCGATATTTACTGCCAGTACTGAAAATCTATAGTATATATAACATGAACTATACATTTTCAATACTGACAGTGCATATCGGAACGCACCCAGTATTGCGAATTTTCGCGCGCAAACATGTCGCGCGAATGTCCGAAATTGATCAACTTTGCACGAAAGCAAGAAAGGAGAACGAAAAATGCGCCACAACAATGTTTCTCTTGCGAAATCAACGTAAAACGGTGTATTTGCGAAAAACCACGTAATACCTTATTCTCTAATGAAGTATCTTTCAAGATACGTGACAGAATATATCTTCCTTATTTTTGCGCTTAAAAGAGTTTTTTCTTGAGCGTTTGATAAAAAATACTTCTCTTTTTACGTGAAATCAATCAATCAATTCTCGTTAAGAGTTCAAAATTATAATTATAGCACAGTTTTAATTAAATCGCAATTGTTTTCTTATCACCTTTTGGTTTGATTATACTGACTGATAGATGACAGATCGCAATGATACTAATCTTGATATTGGTAGACTCTATCTTGTTACCAAATTAAATATCATTATCTAATAATATCTAATATATAATTATCTGTTATTTGAATATAAATCTGACAGTTTCATCTGAATTAAGTAACTAATTGTCAAGGACAGTGTGAATGGTCTCGCACAGTTTTTACAAATAAGTTTATTAATAAATATAACGATGAGTGATCCAGGTGCAGATTTCTTGAGTTTTCAGAGTCGTTTGAACAAACAGAAGTAGAGCGACCTCTTCTTTTCTCCATTACTCCAATGTTTCCTTCCCAGTTCTTGGTAATAGAAATGACATGAAACCACATGCTGAAAAAAATTTTGGTATTCAATTATAAAGATGAGTCAATTATCAATAGAGGTACAATTCCTTTCTTTTAATCCATTAATGACCAATGTTTAGAATCCTAAAATCTTATTATGAATAAAATGATTTTAGTAATAAATGTTCTTTTAATATAATTTAATTTTGAAATATTAAATTGTTTAATTAACGACTGAAATCTGTAGAAAATAAAAACAATCATAATTATGGCTTTTAACGGATTAAAATGAACAGATTAACAGATTAAAGCTATCCAGGCGGAATCTTACCAAAAAGAAACGCAGCGAATAACACGATTGGTATTACGCAGGCCAAATCGATCAAATAACCGAACACTAAGTTGCCGACCAAAGCTCCCAGCCGGCCCATCGTCAACGATAAAGCCGCGGCCATCACCCTAAAATATAGAGAGAGCTTTGCTCGATGTACGATGTAAATGTCCAGTAGAGTAAGATTCGAACAAATGAGTCATTGGATGAAAAAAATTTGATATGAAGTCGCGATAGCGAGACAAGAATCGATTGGAGCACACACAATATATTTCGAGTCGGATAAGAGAAGCTCAATTTGCAATTCGCTTACCTGAGATTCGTCGGGAACATGTCGACGATCACGCAATAAACTAGAGAGATCCCGAGAGATGTGAGCGCCTCGAACACGCATGAAAGCCACAGATTCTGCATAGAGTTCACTACGTAGTAAAAACCCACCGTCACCGCGCCAGAAACCACCAATGATAAGACTGAAATCGATATTATAAATATTTTCAATCTAGTTATTATTCTCTGTTATCTTTGAAGCTATACTAACTATTATTTTAAAGGAATACAAATTATATATTACAAGACTGTGAAAAAAACCTTACGTTTTACCGAATTTTGTCACTTACTCAGGAAGAATTTGGCTCCCAATTTGTGCACGAAGAGGGGCAGAATAATGGAACCTGGGATACACGCGAGCCCAATATACACCGTGTGCAGGTAAACGGACGGTGCGATCGTCGTATCACATCCGTAAAGGTCAATTATGGTGCCGTTGTCTGGCAGGGCAGATACTATACACACCGACGTGCTCTCCCCCGGATTCGCATGCTCGAATTCTTCGAACCTGTCGAGATTGCAAAGAAAAGTTAGAAAGATCCGAAGAAATCAACGTGATGGACCTATTCATTGCCACATTTTAAATTCGATCGCAAAGACCACGATGAAAGCGAGATCGTGAGTATGCGAAACAGCGAAAATCACCTGGTAAACAATTCCGGAAACCAGACCATCAGAGTGTAGTAGCTGCTGGTGAGTCCGAATTGAATAGCGCAGGCGAGCAGCGTGTTGCGCAAATAAGGTGGCTTGCAGAGCGCGCTTGTCAGCTCTCGTATTTCCGCGAAAAGGACTTTCAGATCCTTCCGTTTGTGCAGCTTCAACGACCTAGTGCTCTTGTTTTGTTCCTTCGTTTTTTCTTGCAGACACTTCACCTGAGAAAGAAGGAAGCAGCGTGAGGTAGAATGTAGAAGAAATGAAGAGAGAAAGAAACTCCCCTTCCTCTCTCGCTTCACCATAGACTTAGACGATCGAACGAAATTTACCGGATACGTGTCGGGGTCGGCACCGGTATTTTGCGAGTAGATCCACTTGAACACTTCGAGGGCGGCTTCGGTCTCGCCGCATTCCAGCAAAAATTTTGGGCTCTCCGGGAAGACGAACAGCCAAAGACCGAGCATAAGCGACGGCAAGGCGCACAGCGCCACGAAAAGATTCCAGGTCTTGAAGTAGAACATATCGCTTACGTACATGACGTTCAGCGGTATGATCAACCAGGCGATCACTGAAACGATACAATTTTGATTTGTATGATTCTGGAATTTTGCAAAAGAGGTCGCGATAGAATAATGGCAACTTACGCGGTAAGAGTATCACACCGACCGTCCAAAACATCTCCATCCAGCACAGACAGCGTTCACGGTATTTTGTCGGTTGAAACTCGCCGAGATACGGGAAGCAAATACCCATAGCGCCGGTCACACTGTATATCGATCGGAGTGTCAATACTTTGTTGCAGAAAACCCCACCCATGCGTGAATATGCGTTATTTTAATTCAAACGACAGTTCTCTAATAAATTTGGAATCGATTTTTTAAGAATTTTAGGACATTTGTGGGCGAATAAAAATGATAAAATCTTAGAAATGGAAATTTTAGGAATACAAATCAATTATATAACCGATATTCTTCGGTTCGCGTAAAATCTCACGTAAATTGTCTTGACAAAATTTCTAATGGAGATTTAATTGCACAGATAATATTGAAAGTTCCCTCCAGGGAAAATCAACACCATGTTGATCGAAGAGTTCATCACAAAAATTAAGGTTGCGAGTTGTGGGATACCCCACATATGTCGCGGAGTTCACTTACGCGAAGCCGTTGAAGAATCGAAAGAGCAGGAACACCCAAAAGTATTGGACGAACGAGGACAAGATGCCCACGATACCGTCCATCAGCAGCGTAGCTATTAATACGATCTTTCTACCCTTCGTGTCAGCCAGGCATCCCCATATATACGATCCAATCACCATACCTGCAACGATACTCGAAAATGTTGTAATCCAAATTATATAAAACTCAATTACTTTCGGACAGGGAATATTCACCTAACATCGGAGAAGCTGTTAGCCAACCCTTCGCGCTGGAGTCCATTTCTAGATCGCATTGAGCTGCCGGGAGCACGAACGAAAGTATCGTCACGCCGATGGCCGTGTCCATATAGATCAGCCCGCATATCGTCAACAGCATGTAGTGAAACTTTCCAAAACCTAAAAGCAGAGAGCATTCGCATGATTAATATCGGTACACGAGAATTATCGTAAGTAACTTAGATTCAGATTCTTCCTTGCTTTTAGAAAGCTCATTGCGATTTAGAAAGTATTTTAAGATACCTTAAAAATAGTAAGATCTTGGATCAATTTTAAATCAATTGACGAATAATGAACTTTTTAGATGTCTAAATTTTTTTTCAGAATGTTTACCTGTTACGGTGATTGCATGCTCGAAGTCGGCACCTCCGTCTGCCAGGAAGTCGAGTCCTGCAGGAAGAAAAAGGTGTAAATCATTTTTTTTCTCCTTTTCTGTCCATCTATCTATTTATATTCTATCTCTATTTTCAGTTAAGAACATTGTGGGATACATTGCTCAAATTCATCCAATTAAAATGAAAGCTGCGAAATATCCTAGAACGATACACTGTAGTAATTAGGTAACTTTTATATTATTCCAGATCATCGCAGGTGCGCAAACTATTCAAACTCACCCATGATCGCCGCTCAAGTCGCTGGACGTCCTGAAGTTGTTTGCGCAACGGAAGTTCTCTTTCAACGTGCCGCCGCAGTATCGTTTCCTGGTGCTGCTGATGCCACGGTATTGTCCCTGAGGGTGACGCCCTGCATTCATTGGTGAACACCCAGTGGTATCCTGTCGGCGTCGCTGCCGTGAATTTCAGCCCTGCTTGATTGCTGCCGAAGACGTGTCGATTTGCGAATGACGAACCGGCGCGAGCGGTACGACCGTGCAGTTCTTTGCGGCTGCTTCTGCAAAAGCGACAGAGCGACTTGGCTCGATCGGAAGGTGGCTGTTATTCGCGCGATCGCGATTGAGCGAATGATCAGGGGCCATGATTGCACACCTTGACATACCGGTGGCTTCCGGTAGCCCGTTCGAGGCTGAGTTGCGATAAGATATGGTTCTTCTAGAAAGTAGGGGTCAAAAATGTTTGTAGAAAGCCTCGCCATTTTCGAGAGTGATAAACAAGACGAGAGAACCGAGAGATTAATTAGAATTTAATTATTAATTAATTGTTTTGTTGATGCTTTCTTTTCTTATTTTATCCTTCTTTTCTCTTCTGTCTCTCATCTCATTAATTCTCGATAACGATCTGTGGATATGCATGTGACAAGTGTATATCTATACTGCGAAATGATTACTTGATGCAAGCACGCCAGCTCGTTATTTACGATCCGAATATACGAATGTCAGCATGAGATGTGAGGTGCTTATTTGATCATCATTATTTCATCATCATTTCTCGAGATAACGTATTTTTACAGAATTATGTCACAAGTGACGACTTTATTACGTCATTAATTAATATGTCTAAATTTTAGTTATGATAAGATACATTGTTACCATGAGATCACGAAATATCAGCATGGTATCAAATTTTTACATTAATAAGTCTGCATCAACTGTTTTTCGACACTTATCATTTGATATATTATTCTTCTACTTTTATCTACTCAATTTCTCACCGAATTCATCGCTCTGCGGTACAGAGATGATGAGAAAGATATATAAATTATTTCATTTAATTATAGAGAGAAAGGGTGAGAAAGGAAGAATCGACTACGTCAACGACTCACTTTCATCGTGTCAACAAGTTCATCGTGAGACCGAAATTACGTGGAAATGATTCTTCGTATAGCTAAAAATAGAAAATGCCATCGATCCGTAATACGAAGGATGAGTAATACTCATCAAAGCACGTCGTATTGAAGATTTACGATATCAAAGGTATATTGAATCTAATGCTGTGACATGAGAAATCAATGGAGTCAGGAGAAAAAGTGACGGTGAGTAACTGTGAAATTGAAACTATGTCGTACTAGAAAGAGTATATGAAAAATTCAAAACATTCCTGGTCAGAGATAGCCAAAAGAAAAGAAGGAAAGAAAATATCCCAGACCGCACAAATGTCCAAAATCGAGTCATAAGACGTCTTTAGGACTCTTTAAGAGCCTTCGCACAAGAACATCCGTAACATGTTAAGTTTACGGATTTCTTTGTGCGTTGACTTAAGTTTACATATAGGTATGGCTATTGTATTGTCAGTACTTAACGTAACGTAATATGTTACGGATGTGCTTTAGCTCTAAGATATCTTTAAGACAATACCTTATAAACTTGTCTTAAAGATGTCTTAAAGATGTTTTAAAGACGTTTTATGACCCGATTTTGGATATTGGGCTGTCTGAGATGTATACATATACAGGGTGTCCCGGATTACCTTCACAATCTCTCGTGAGGACGTAGAGTGGATTGAGATGAACAAAAAAGTCCCATACCGTTTTGCGATATTCGCAATAATAGTCGAAATATTAATTTAAAAAAATTGGTGAATGATCCCGCGCGATATGGTAGAAGAGCTGCAGTGGCGCCGTCTACCGTCGTATACTTATACATTAAGTCAATCTGAACAAAAAAGTCCTCTACCATTTTGCAAATGACCATACAGATTTTTAGATATTAATTAAAGAAAATTGTTACATGATTGTGTATCATAATATATAAATTTTCTTTAATTAATATCTAAAAATCTGTATGGTCATTTGCAAAATGGTAGAGGACTTTTTTGTTCAGATTGACTTAATGTATAAGTATACGACGGTAGACGGCGCCACTGCAGCTCTTCTACCATATCGCGCGGGATCATTCACCAATTTTTTTAAATTAATATTTCGACTTTTATTGCGAATATCGCAAAACGGTATGGGACTTTTGTGTTCATCTCAATCCGCTCTACGTCCTCACGAGAGATTGTGAAGGTGATCCGGGACACTCTGTAGAAATAATATATCCGAAAATTCTTAAATGTCATAACTCTTTTTTAATTAAAATTTGCAAGCAATTGCATAGTAAGGATTCCATTGAAGATGGAAAATGACTGAGAAATAATATCCTCTAATTTCAAATGTTAACTATTCAAAAACTATGAGTATCTCGAGATTATTGTCTTCAAATGAAAGTCAATTTGTGAATTAGTGAAAGGATCGCAAAAGGAATCCGGTGAATACGACTTTCCCGCGGTTTATCCGTAAAAATTGAAGACACCCTGCATATAGAGTTGAGCGATAATGAAGAACGTAATTGTATTGTCAAGAAATCACGCGCTTAAGACCGAAGCACGTGAAACGTATGACATATTCTCTCGCCTGTTACAGACTGTTTGTGCACTTCCTTTGGCAAATACAGAGCGTTTACTAAGATATTATCTAGCAATCACCGGCGACCAATAGGGGAGCGTGTCAGAAGCAGCCTACTTACCGGCTTCACTACCTACACGATTGAATTGTTTTGAATTCTTGGTATTTTCCACGATAAGGTACGATAAGGAAACGCTCGAAAACAGCGATCTGTCACCGTCGTCATCTCGCGCGTGGACGCAAATAATTGTAGGTTCCGCGTTCCCCGCGGTGCGACATCGAGCAACCGCGGCAGGGTTGGCTCAGTGCGCAATCGGTTATTTATACTATCGATAACAGACTCATCATAACTGATCGGGAAAGATATATTTGTATAAATAGATGTGTGCGCGATAGAGAATAAGCGATTAGAAAGCTTTATATACGTAAAAAAATTTCAATTGGTGCAACGAAATAGGAACCAACTGAAAATTAAGTGATCAGAACCCGTACAGCACAAATCTTCAAAGGACATTCTAAAGATGTTCTAAGGACATTTATACATCCTAAGAACGTCCCAGAACATTCTCTGAAGATTTTGTGCTATCTGGGAAGCGATATCTCTGTTACGAAAACTAATATTTCTGTTGTCCGAAAATATTGGTCTGAACATTCAACGATATTAGAACTCAGCAACTGAGACAACTAAACAATTGACTATACAGAAGCCTCATAAAGGAATTTTTCTGTTCCCACAGTCGAGTTTTCGTCTGGTCCCTCAGCAACTGAAAATTCGGTTGCGCCAATAGAATTGTTTTTTCCGTGCATAGATCGATCTGATCGAGTTAAAATTCGTATTTCGAATCGAAAGTTTGCCACGTCCGCGTTTTTTCTTATTTAATCGGATTGGATTTTTGTTCCGACATATCACACATTTCACGATTTACGCTACGTGAAACTGCCAATTACTAAATACCATTAAATAATAATTGAAATTCTGACGCGCATCTCATTTCGCGCGGCTTATTTACAACCTCATGTCGTTTATCGAATTACGGTATACTTTAAATTTCTTACCGCACAGGGATACTTTGTGTCTATTGGAAAAAAAAAAACAATCAATGGATTCAACGGTGACAAGCGCACGTGTTGACGCGCGCGTGCGACCTTCGATCGCGAGTACGAAGACCAAAAATAAATATGGACGCATACCACGATTACGATCGTTTGATTTGAGCCGGTGATTTGTCTAAGTTTCATCGATTACGGCTATGTTCGATAATATCGCCGTAATCTTTTTTTTTAATGCGAGTATCGACCCGACTGATCGCGCGCTGATACAATCATCGATCGACACAAAGCAATCGCAGCTACTCGAGCTGCACCGAGACTTCTTTGTCAATGAGCAAAAAGGGATTACCTGTTCGTTAACACCGTGAGGAATTAGTCTCTCTTGAGTCGATCGATAACGCGACATAAATTGGTCTCTCTGGAGTTATCGCTCCGACCGGTATTTAATGTCGCGCGTCTCTTTCGCATATCTGCTATATTCATCGTCTACGTCGGGAATAAAAAATGAATACTGTCAACAAACACGTTCTGAAACTATTCAACTCTTTCTTATCTCACATGAAGAGATAACATATCAAGATATATGAATAATATATGAACAATTACCTCTGGCGCACTTCACTGCCAGCTAGGAGTTCGAGACTCTTCACCCTCGGGTTTGTAATTGAAATTTGCAATTAAAGTTGACAAATACTTCTTACTTGATATTGCTGTCGACCACCGTGTAAACAAACATATAACTCACCTAGAAACAATTATACTGAACAAATACACACGAAAAACGTCTATCTGGAAATATCGCGAGAGAGACTCCGCGCAGTCAAGTTCTTTGTCGACCTTCCCGGGTGACAGCGATCCCACCATTCAGCACTTTCGGTGGCCGCGACCCTAACTGCTACGGGTATGAGCGCGATATTTAGACGAATATGGGCCAATGACGAGGAAACGCGCAGGGTCGACGATAGTTTTTTTCGCGCCATAAGCAACGCGCACGAATTAAGGATCGTATCCTTGTGGACGTCGGAATGGCGCAAAAGCGCCGATTCGTCGTTCTTTCGAACATCGGACGAGGTTTCCAGCTGGAGATTCTTGGAGAGAGAACTGTGAGAAACTTCATTTCGGAAAAGAAAAAGAAGGATCGTCAGTCCCTTTTTAATAGGAAAACATTAGAAGAACGACGAATTTTTTCGATGTTGGTGCAATTAGCGAAGATAAGAATGCCTTGATGAGGATAAGGACTCGGTCCAGAAAACGCCGGACCAGTTTTCTCGCGCCGACCCTGCGAGAACTATTGGCTAGTACTGGGATATCTCTCGGGATATCGTGATGCCTTAATTAGAACAAGTAAGGTACAAGTGAAAACTATTAATTGCAACGTCGCCAGCCAAATCTCAACACGGCAGATAGCCGTATATTGCGCGCACGCATACATCACATGCTCCCAAAGTTGATCTTACCCTCGTCGATCCTATCAATACCTCGGTGGTGACTTTGTAGAAGTTTCGTTGTATCGTACGCTGAGAAAAAAGCGGTTAGATTGACAAAATCGGCGGTCACCGGCCATCAAAGAAATATTGGATCTATTCAACAAAATACAATGTTAATGCAACAATAAGTTGCGTTAATATAGTGATTTCAATATTTCTTTGATGGCCGGTGACCGCCGATTTTGTCAATCTAACCGCTTTTTTCTCAGTGTAGGAATCTTCAGATTTCGGTTTCCCGTCTCGCGAAATCTCTGCAAAACTCGACGTTGACTTTGAACTATGAACTCTCTCCCCGAGATCCCGTAGAAATACTTTTTCTATTAATGATTCCGTTACACATTGACGATACGTTACCTCGAACCTTAAACACCGCCGACAACATCGATGCGGTGACAATGAATATCGATCCCGCAAGCATTTTAAAAGCACGGAGAATAGCGGCGTATTAACGAAGCGCTCTTCTGACGTCAGCTTGTAGACGTAATTTCCTGCGAGGAAATTGTATCCTGCACTCATCCGTGTTCTTTCAAAAGCGGGGAGGGTTTTCAATCTGTTTCTCTCTCTCTCTCTCTCTCTCTCTCTCTCTCTCTCTCTTTCTCTGTCGAAGAAATGGACTTGCGTCTTGTTGCGTCGATTCGACGTGCATCACAACTGAGAGCACAAAACGTCGCAAACTGTTTCAGATTTCTCGTGTATGCGCTCTAAGAATTCAAGAGAAAATTTTGAAACTACCTAAGCGGCCAAAGTTTATCGAGTCATATCGCTGCCAGGGACTTTACGCCTTAATATTCAAGAGATTGTGACACATCGCAGATCCCAGATTTCAAATTAAGCTTCGGCTAACGTTCAAAGTGTTAAGAGAATTCCAGAGATTGACATCGTCTCTGTCTTCGTCTCGAACGTCAAACATCGGGCGAACGTCAGCGGCCACGAAGACCTACAAAGAGCGGAGGAGCTTTCGTTGCGTGAATGGCCTTGCTCGAAGCTGCGTATTAGGGTGATAAACTGTATCGATCGATCTCTGCGTCTCTATAAAATTCACTTGTTTCTTTTATCTGTTTTATCACATCCTCTTTAATATATATATAATGACAAAGAAAGAGAGAGAAGGAAGATAGTAAGAAAATGAAAAAAAGAAATAGAAACATAAAGTGGAACGAATAGACGTTCGTATTTACTCGATTTAAAGCGTATTTACTGTTATACGCAAGTAATCGGATTGTCGGGAGACGTTCCTTCCTTATTGGACCTCGTGTAAACCTCCGGGTACCACGGAGAAGAAGGCAATAGCAAAGTTCAACAAATCTTCCGGGATTACTGGCGAAGAGAAAATGATCGCCCCGGCGATAGCGACGATATTGAACGGATTTTCTGTCGCAATTAAAAGAACATTTTTCTTTCGATATTCTTAGTATTGTTCAATAATAATGACGAAACCTACCTTTTCCCTTCTCTTTCTGAACAAATTAATTTCACCAAACAATCTCCATGTTCCACAAATGACGAGCCGTGTCTCTTAAAGATAATGAACTCCATTCTCGACAACGGTATGACCTGGTAGTGCGAACGTTCGTATAATCCCGGTATTAATTAGAAGATTTCAGGGGCAATGAGTATTCCCGGCTCGCTACACGGAAAGCTCATTTCAGCGAATCAAGAACGACACGAGCTGTTCTCGCGAGAGCTTGTCCGAGATTGCGCGGGCATTTCTCGAGCTTTCGCGTTTTCGCAGCGAGCTTGCGGAGTGACTTGGCGGCCAGTCGTCGCTCGTCCGCGTCTCTGTATTCTCGGGCGAGTTAATCGCACGGGCAGCGATGTGGTCCAGTCAATTCGTAAATAACTCGTCATACTCCCGTCGAATTTCCACTAAAGATCATCGATCGAGATCAAAAGTGTTCTTTGCATTGTACTATAATTTCTGTAAAATATGAACCAATTAAATAAATTAATCTAAGAAATATAAATTAATTTTACGCAAAACTTTGATTCAGGAGCTTCATACACAATTCGCGTTTAAAAAAATGTAATTTAATAATGATTATAATTAAAATATATGCTTAATATGTTGTGATTATCATTAGTTTATAATTGAGTGATATTTTTTTAGAATTCAGATTTATCGTTTGCAAAAGAAAAAGGTAAAATTTGCGACTCGATGTTACCTTTCTGAATGATAATGTATTCAAATGCGTTCAAGTGGGTGACCATGATATTGTTTACCCCGTATCGTGCGAGATAAGAGTCCAACCATGGTGGACAAGTTGCACGAGTACGAAGGGTTTGCGGGTAGAATTCACGGTATTCGCGATATCATCAAGGAGAAATGGAACAGCTGGAAGGAGTGGAAGACTGGTCTGAATCTGGATCAAGGCCTGGACGGATTGAAGCATCAACTGCGAGGACCACCCAAATTGGAACGCACGTTGGAAGATTACTCCCACATTTATAGGTGAACGTGATTCCGTCTATAGGATGTGCGAGTAGAAATTAGAAAATGTATTACAATAGAACGTTGATATAATTCGGAATGGTTTGAAGACGGCAAGTTAGTTTTTCGATTAATTTGAAGAATAAAAATAAAAAATATGCAAAAAAATTGGGGGAATATTAATTCGAACGAATCTTCTTTACATCTTAATCAGAATCTAAATCAACATATTTCTTTTTAATCCTTCTATAATCGTCACGATATGATCATATTTCGTTTTATTTTGATTTTTTTAGCTGCAATTCTGATTTATTTTTTAATTTGATTCAAATATATATGTAATTTACGTAACGCAATAGTTCGTTTCATCCACGAAATTCTCTATGGTCTGCCGTCTGTTTGCGGATCCCGTATTCTCAGGAGGAAAACTCGCGGCGAACTTGTCCGCGTATCGGCCGCCGTGATGGGGATCGAGTTCTCTTACGCGGCGGAGACTGCCTTCGTTTCACCAACGTTGTTGAAGATCGGTGTCGATCACCAGCACATGACGCTGGTGTGGGCGCTGAGTCCACTTGTGGGTTTCTTCGTAACACCCATCCTTGGCAGCATGAGCGATCGCTGTAGAGTGAAGTATGGCAGACGACGGCCTTTCATTCTTCTGTTAGCTTTGGGCGTTTTCATAGGCAAGTATGAGATATGTTCTATGTACGAGATAACGACAAACCTGTTAAGAATAGTGTAGAAACTTTGTCTGTTTAATAATACATAATCGAATTTAACAGAAAATTTTCTTCACACTCAATAATATCAACAACTCGGTGATCACTTTTGTTTCTATTTCCGTTGCTATCGTGTCCGTTACGCAGGTCTGATACTGGTACCTAATGGTGAGCACATCGGCTACACATTCGGCGACACACCATCCGACTCTAATGAGACGATTCCTCTCGGACATCGCACTACAGCGAAGTTGTTCTCGGAGGAGGCACCTGGTACAGTCGACAGGGCTTCTTCGCACTATTGGGGCATCTTCTTCACTATCCTCGGCACGGTTCTGCTCGACTTTGACGCCGACGCTTGCCAAAGTCCTGCGAGAGCTTATCTCCTGGATGTTACTGTGCCTGGTGAGTACCTACAGAAAATATTATTAGTTTAGTCTCTGTATTTTGAAATAAAATATTGGTCAATCAGTTCTCCGTACTAACGTTACAAACATTCGCAGAGGATCACGCCAGAGGTCTGAGCACGTTCACCATAATGGCGGGCTTAGGAGGTTTCATGGGCTATGGTTTGGGTGGTATCAATTGGGATGCTACCTCGCTTGGCATCATGCTGGGAGGCCATCTCCATGCGACCTTCACTCTAATTACGATCATCTTCGTCATCTGTGTCTTCTGCACGATTACGAGCTTCAAGGAGATCCCTCTGGAAGTATTAGAGAAAGATCAATATCAAGTTGACGAGCCAAATGTGGGTTTCTCTCATCTATTCTAAGTTTCATTTCTGCGCGATCACTTTGATTTCATTTTCGATTCTTTGTGTCTCTAGGAAAACATTCAGGAGACCAAGCTAGAGAACGAGCAAGAGGAACGTGAAAAAATAATGTCCAACGAGTCCACGTCGAAGCACACTTATGGTACGCTCAATGGCACAACTTATGATGAACACGAAATTGACTCCTTAAAGAAGGAGGTACGTTTGAGAACTGTTAACGCATCTGTAGTGGAACTATACTCCTCTAATGAGCTATAATGAATAATTTTGAATATAAATGGAAATTATTACTGAAAATGAATGAATTACTGATTAAGGAATTCGCTCTCAATCCGCTACCATCGCAGTCTTCCATACATTCCGAGGAACAATCTTCCGATGGTAGCCACATCAACTTCGGCTTCGATGATTCGCAGTCGCGCGCTGGAGTTGCGGAGATCAACCCGAAGGCAACTCTGAAAGAGTACTTGTTGTCAATCGTTTACATGCCGCGCAGCCTTCGTCAGGTATACGACCAATATCTACAAAACATTATTGCATAATTTTGGAGAACATTTAAATGGTTAATCACGAACTTGATCGACAGGTGTGCTTAACCAACCTGTTTTGCTGGATGGCGCACGTCTGCTACTCCTTATACTTCACGGACTTTGTAGGCGAGGCGGTGTTCGGTGGAAACCCACGAGCACCCATAGATACTCTCGAGCGGAAGCTCTACGAGGAAGGCGTGCGTTTTGGTTGCTGGGGAATGTCCATGTACTCGTTGTCCTGCTCGTGCTATTCTTTGGTTATCGAACGATTGATTCAGCGTTTCCGCGCGCGCAAAGTAAGAATTTTACTTCACATTTTGATCAATGAGATCAGAATATTAATAATATTATCAAAATATTTGATAATTTTATATAATTACTTATTATTCAGAATTATTTATTGTTTATTTTATACTTGATTCTATGATACAATTCTTTTCTATAAAGAAGAATGTTATATTTGAATGGTTCTTATTGATAAATCAAAAACCAAATTAAATGGTTATAATCATTTGGTTATTTGAATAAATATAATTTTTTTACATAAGTGAGGATAGATACTAGCTTTATAGCTAGTTTTATAACACTACGTCATCCGTGTTAGTGGTTCCATAGGCCCTTATTCCCCCAAGTTCTTGATTTATCAATAAGAACCATTAAAATATAACATTCTTCTTTATAGAAAAGAATTGTATTATAGAATCAAGTATAAAATTAAACAGTAAATAATTCTGAATAATAAGTAATTAGATAAAATCATCAAATATTTTGATAACATTATTAATACTCTGATCTCATTGGCAGATCTATTCATCAAAAGATTATAACCATTTGGTTATTTGAATAAATACAATTTTTTTTACCTCTACATAAGTGAAGATAGATACTAGCTTTATAGCTAGTTTTATAACACTACGTCATCCATGTTAGTAGTTCTATAGGCCCTTATTCCCCCAAATCTCTTCTATAACGTAATACATAATATTCTTGTAAATTTATTGATGTCTCTTCCACTGAGTGCTATCTTTCTGTGTGTGTGTACGCAGGTTTACATCTATGGCCTGCTCTTCTATAGTGCTGGAATGCTACTGATGGCCCTGATGAAACATCCAGTCGGCGTTATCGTTTTCTCATGGACCGCCGGTGTCATGTACTCCACGCTATTCACCATGCCCTATCTATTAGTGGCGCATTATCACGCATCTTCGACGTTCGCGCTTGCGACGAAGGAGGACACGGTTACTGGCGGTTTCGTGCGTGGATTGGGCACCGATGTCGCCATCGTCTCCTCCATGGTCTTCCTCGCGCAATTCCTGTTGTCCTGCTGTCTAGGCACGATTGTCAGCTTGTCCGGCACCACGGCGGCGGTGGTGTATATAGCCAGTGTCCTGGCGATGTGCGGCGCTGCGTCCGCCACGCAGATCATGTATCTGGATTTGTGAATCTCGTTTGTCGACTAACTCGCTTGGACTCTGGATACTAACTTCAGCTGCGTGGATTCGTATAACGGTGGGCACACGTCGAACTGATCATCACGGACAACCATTGATCAATAATTTAATCGACAATTGTATTATTCGTTCGTTCACCTAACATCAAGCGATTTCGTATATCTATATTTCGTATATCTACACTTATTTCATTTCGTGCGTTTATTATGTGTCTTACCAAGCGCTAAATTACGAGTACTGTTATACTGAATATTTTAGTTTGTCAAATTTTCAGTGAAAAATGAAAAAGCAATGGATATATTCGATGTATAATACAACAGTCTAAATGATCGACTAATACACAAGTCCAAGTAGAACAAATCTAAACTTCACGTGCGAAGATTATTGATACACTTTTCCAAAATGTCTTTCCTGATCCTCGGGAAATCTATGCTCTGCTTCAATACCTCGTTACAAGCTTCGATAGCGTCAGCATACGCTTTCGCTTTCAAGCAACAGTAAGCCAGTTTATAACCAACCGACAGCTTCGTTTTCCCGCCACATTTCCAGGCTTGAGCGTATTTCGTAGCAGCTTCGCGATAACACTGATCCTTTTCAGCGATGTAGCCTAAAAGTAAAGAAATAGTTAAATCATGGTTGTATTATAAATGTAAATTACAGATCGTCTAACATGGATCCTGTGACAATCCAGATTATTAAATAGATAATAATAATCGACAGATCCGCACTCATAATTATTCTCACAAACTTTGATGTTGTATAATAAATAAAATAATTGCCAGCTGGTTACAATAATTATCAATTAATATAATTCAATAACTTTTATTTTTCTGTGTTTTACCTGACAGTTCGTGAGCTCGCACGCAGGTGGCGTTATGCTGCAGCACACGTTTCAACAACTCATTCGCCAAGTCGTATTTGTTGGATTGCACGTAGATATCCGCCAACAACAGCCAGCAACGTTCCAAGTACTCGGCGTCTTCGAACGTCCAGACATTCTTACTGACACGTTTCAAATGATTTCTGGCACGTGGCGTTTGTTTCAGCAAGATATGAGCGGTGGCCATGCCAAGAGCGGGACCTACGTGATCTCGAAGAGCATCTTGACTTGCTAACGCGGTGCAATCCTGCAGGGCCTTTTCGATGTTAGATTTTTGCTTGGTGGCCAACAGGAAGAAGTCGCTGAGAAGTTTGTGGGTCAGTACCTCGTGAGGACTTCCTTTGGGATTCAATTCCTGCAATAACATGTCTCGACTGTATCATCCGCGTTCTCATATTATTACTGTATTTCAAAAATAAAAACGAAAAACAATAATAATAATCACTTGATTTTTAAATAATTAATAATGGAGAAACTTGACTTAATATTAATAGGATACCTGAAGCAATCGATAGGCCGTTCTTAAAGCCATCGTTCTTGAGTCCTGATACTCTGCATCCTCATCGTTGAACGCTTCGTTCGACAGTGTAGTGTCATCGTCAGGATCCAAACAGATCTCGATCATGTTGTAAATCGCCTGCTGTCCCCATTCCGGATCGCGTCGCGCAAAGTTGAAGTTTCGCAATGCGGAGTTCAACTTGCCTATTCGCCAATCTAAGAGTCCAGCACAATAGTAAAAACCAGCTTCGACATTACCTGCGCCCATCGCGGCCTGCGCGCGTTGCAGCCACTCGTCCAGGTCATCCATAGCACCTACAACATAATATTGAATTAATTTTACTGAGATACTTAGAAAGAATGAAAAATTGGGAGAATTCGATACCTGTTCTGCGCGAAACTTCAATCAGTCTCGCCAAAGCGGTCCAATAAGTCGGTTGACGTAATAGCAACTGTCGGAAATGAAACGCTGCAGTCTCGAAGTCAACCTTTCTGAATGCAAGATCAGCCATCATCACAGATGCGGCTTCATTATTGGGTTCGGCGTTTAATAGGATCGAACAATTTTGCGCACATCGGTCCAAATTGTTCATCTAACAAACAAATTTACCATTAGCACTCCTTTCGGAGATTAAGATTTAATAACTTACTCTACTAAGCTTTAAACTTACGTTTAAATAGAAAAGACATTTATTTATCTAATAAATAAATTCATCAATATTAAATTGTTAAAAAAAATCTCTACACATGTAGTTCTTAAAATTAATTATAAGAAATGTACAACTTAATGCTTAAAAAACAAGCTATTACTCAATTAATATTTTTATTAAAATCTAATCTCTCTTAATTTGAACGTTAAAATTTCTAAATCTAAGAACACTCTATTTACCTGCATATAGAGTTTCGCCAAAGATAAAAGAGCGTTTACATCTGTAGATTTATGAGACAGAGCTTCTTTATAATATACGATAGCTTCATCGTAACTACGCAAGGTTGTCGCATAATCAGCCATTGTGAGACAGATGTTCGCCAACATGTGTCTCTGATCGACGATGTCTGGCGAGACGGCAAGACGTTGGATATACCTGTGTTGATTTTCCTTAGCTTCTTTTAATGTCGCCAAAGCACCCCTAACGTTGCCTGATTTCTCGCGCACTTTAGCAAGTAGCAATAGTTCTTGTCCTCGCATCTCCAGGCTCAGAATATCTGAGTCGCCTCGTCTGTCTAAATAAAAAATGATAAGATTATAGTAATATCATTTAAATTTTATTTCATTTAAATATTATTTTAAAATTAAAAATATGACAAGTCAGTCAAACATAGTTAGTTGATTTCAATATCTATAATTGAATGTTTTAATGTTTTATTATGGGCAAGTTTTTTAATTCATCGATGGATCCATTGCATAAATACAGCGAAACGCTGTATTTGCGCATCATGCGATGGATCCATTGATGAATTAAAAAACTCGACTTATGTAAAAAATTACCTTGTAGTTCTTGTACCAATGTCCCTTCCGCTTTATCATATTGTTTCATTTTCATATATAAGTTAGCCAGGTCTAACTTTAGAGCGCCGCAATTGTTCTGCTTCACTATATCTTTATAGTAACTGGTTGCCTTTGCGTATTGATGTGCCTTAATGAGCGCCTTGCCCATCTTATTCGCAATATCCATTTTGTCGATTGGATTTTGAGAGAGAGCTTGCTCATACGCCTCTATTGCTCTTTCGGGTTCCTGTATAGACATATAGGCGTTACCGAGCATGCTGTAAGTCTTCGGGCCAGGACGATGTTCCACCAATTCTCTAGAAAACGTATATGAACGTCAACACTTAATCTAAGATTTATCTCACCTAATTACAATATAATCAGAAGTCGAATCGTTTGTACCTGAAGCACTTCGCGAACGCTTGACGATCTTTCTTGTAATTCAAGTTGATCTCGGCCAATCTAGTGTGCGCTTGTAAGTAGTACGGCTGCCCTGGACCGATACTCTGTAAACAGCCAACAGCGTTCTCCAACTCGCCCATGTCCAGATACACCTCCGCGATGCCGATCGTGACTCTTCCTATCTCACTGGTGCCGGCAAGATTCGACTTCGCTTCGTCGACGAGCGCCAACGCTTCGGCGAACCGCTTCGCCTTGCTATACGCCGCGATCAGTTCCAGGTACAACGTTGCTCGGTCCGACGTGGACATGTCGAATTTTCTGTTGGCGCCCAAATTGGCTAAAGACATGGCTGTTTGACAGCTCTTCACGCAGTTATCTAGTTCGCCAGCCTCCCGTTGTACCATACCAGTGATCAAATGATATACCGGCTCCTCTCTGATTTTAAAGTTGTAGCTCAGACCGACCTCGAGACTCTGCGACGCTAATTGATACTTGCCCTGATACGCTAGGATCTGCGCCATCGCGAGATGCGCTTGAGCGTTAGACGGCTCCACCGTGTCCAGCAACTTCCTGAGCAGATTCAACGCGTTCTCGTAGTCCGCGCTCTGCATCCTAGCCTTGCTGAGCAGCAAGAGCGCGACGCTGGAACCTGGACAAGCCTCTACGAGTAGTTCCAATAAGCGGACGCTCGGCTCCTTTCCTGTCGCACCGACCACTTCGTCGCTCATCGGAGACTTGTTCAAGGAATACATGAGACGTTGCTTCGCGATATCGAGACATAGGTCAGGCTTGAGCTCCTTCAGGTACTCGTAGCCGTAGGGACGACCCTCGCAATTCTTCAGCAAAACGTTAGCAGCTGCATCTAGGTAACCGAGCGACTTGCTGGCGCCTTCGCCGGACGCAATCTTCGCCGACATGAGCAGCAGTCGCACGTTTATGGCGTGCGGCTGTATTTCCATGAGAAAGTCCACCTGCTGACGCGCCAAGTCCAAAGCCTCCACTGAGCCTTCCAGCAGTTGACAGCGAGCCAGACCCATGAGAGCTGCGAAAGACGACTCGTCTGCGCGTATAGTACTTCTGTACCAATGCTCAGCGTCCTTGGCGTTACCGAGAGCAGCATAAAGATCGCCGAGTTCCGCCATCAGCTCCGCGTTGCTTGACGTTGACGCTTGCAGCGTCTTCTCGGCCGCCCGCGCCAGCTCCGCAAGTATCGCGTGGTCTTGGAACGCAATTCCTGAGAACAATTGCAAGTTCTCGATAAGCAGGAACACGTTCTTCGGCTCGGCAAGTAGTAGGTGGCGTAGGAACAATTGCAATTGCCGTGCACCCTCGTTAGTGTTGCCGTCTCTGCAAAGAGCCACTACGGAATTCGCCTTCATGGCGTCCAGGTTGTTGGATTCAACGGCTAATATTCTGTTCACCATCTCTAACATCTGCTCCCAGTCTTTCGCGGCTAAGAGACACTTCATCTTCTCTACCAGCGGCACTGGTGACTTGGAGTAGCGCACGATCAAAGAGTTGAGTATCGAGATACTCTCCGAGTGATCACCAGCACGTTGCTTCATCTTCGCGAGGCCCAACGACGCGCTCAGGTTCCTGGACTCCTCCTTCAAGACCAACTCGAAGAAGCGCTGTGCTTGTTCTGAAGCATCCGTACTGGAGCCCAATCTCGATTCTACCCATCCTTTAATGAGCAGCACGTTAACGTTCGTCGGCTTCAGTTTATACGCTCTATCTGTATACTCCTTCGCCTTGTCCGCACGGCGGGAAAGGAATAATACAGACGCTGCGAGACACAGCGCGTTGCAGGAAGCCTTCCTGCGCTCCTCCCGGATCCTGCTTTCTACCTGAGCTATAGTGCTTCTCTCGGTGCTTCCATCAGTTGCATAAGCGACGTTTTGCGCATGGAGAGCCGCTAATGTGAAGTCTGCATAATTCAGCAAACTCGAGCTCTCCTTGATAGCTTCATGGTTCTTGCCAACGAGAGCGTACGCCAAGCAGAGCAAAAGCTTTAGTTGTTCATTGCTTGGATAAGCATCACGCGCTTGTTTGGCTTGTGCCAACATTCCATTGTAGTAGTGCTGATGACAATACCACTCAATCAAAGCTATATACTCTGTTTCTTCCATTGTTTCCTTGTCTATATATCTCTTCTACTTAAATCTTTCAATTGATACTGGAATAATATAGATTAGAATTATGTATTATATTACGTAGAGTGTATAAAACTTTTTTTTTAAGTATTTGTGTGATTTTAAGTTTCTGAACTTTTAATTCTCTAAATTTTTACATACTTAAAAACTTAGATTTAACATTTTTACATTATTATAATTAGAATTAAGAATCTTTGGGTTCTGGTAGTTCATAAACAACATCAGGATGCAAAGGCAGAGAATTGGGACCCTCCAGGATGTCACGTGGTCCAATAATATGTTTTTCCAAATCAAAATTTTTCACCGTGAGATAATACTTCTGTAGATACTTGCATTGTAAGAACATATAATAATTGTTCACTATAGCATATGTGAATGCTGTCTATATAAAGTATATATTTTAAGTATCAAAATTACTATGTTTGAAAATATTCCATATAATTGAAAGTTAGAGCATAGGATTTTAATACCTCTGCTAAGAGTCTTGCTAAGCCTTGGCCTTTATATTTATCAGGAACAATGATGAATTGCATACGTAAGACTCTTTCATTAGTTTCATATTGCAATACTGCTCGAGCTGGTCAATAAATGAATAAATACATAATTGAACTTTTCATATAAAATCGATGAAATATTTAAAATTTAAAGCAATAATACAACGATAAGCGTGCTATTTACATTCATCGTCTAACTGCACGAAAAAAGTGCCGCGGCATCTATTGTGCTGAACAACATGCAAGAATCGTTGACAAATTACATTATTTCTTAATTGTTTCCACGCGACAGAACGCGATTTGAAAACGGCGATGCCCATTTACTCGTTCGGTGATTTTTTTATTCACTTCTCTTGCTCATAAATATGGAAATAACGCAAAATGACTGATAGGTTAGATTTGTTGACAATGTCGTTGCCGTGGAAACCGAGATCTGTTCGTTTTCAAGAAACTTCTGCACTAGTGCAATAAGTTAGAGTGAAATAAGCAGATTTTCTTTTATTCTAATTTATTGCACTTCTGCCAAGATGTGGATTCTCTTTTAGATAAAGGATTTGTTTTCTATTGCTGAACTATTATAGACTTTCGAAACTTAAAAACAGACAGATATACAGATAAAACTCCTCTCATAGCACAAGAGGCCTGTTCTTTGTAGCTACACTGATGAACTGGTGCAATATATTGAAGTGAGACAAATATAGTTTTCTCATTCTATTGTACATTAATTTTGAGTGTGCATTAATTTTAAAGGATTTTCAAGAGATAGGGTAATTAGTACTTTATCGCATCGGGCCATTGTTGCTACCTTCATGTCAAAACCCTTGAGATTCTCCTTGCCCCTAATTAAAATGTCGGTCATCTTCGCCGATTGGTTCACTACCGTAACCAACATTGAGCAGTAAAAATTCAAATCCAACCAATCAGCACGTATCATAATTTTAAAACCAGCGGCATACGTAGCTTGTTTCGTGCTGATTGCTTGCTGGATAGAAATACTCTGTTCTGATTGGTGCATTTCTGAAGACGGACCAATCAGAATAGTGTATTTCCGTCCAGCAAGCAATCCAGCACGAAACAAGCATGTGCCGCTGGCTTAACACTCGCTTTTTTGGAGCCTTGGTTTTTACAACATGCTCATCTCAATAGAGAAATTATAACCATGGTATCACGTTTGT